GGGGTGGAATTGGTCGGGCACGGGTTGTCCGGTTACGGCTCGTACGGGGGCGGTGGTGGTGGGATCGGTCACGGGTTGTACGAGGGACACGTCCAGCATCATTACGCGCCGGCAATACCCGTCAGCCAGCACGTGGAGATTACCAAACCTGTGCCCGTACCCGTTGTTAAAAATGTCGGTAAGTTGTCGTTGATTCTGTAATCCTTATCTCGATTTTATCTTCTTTGATTCGTGTCACTCTTGCTTCGAATGGATCTAACCCACGATAGAGATTATTATAATTGTACTCCATCGAGGGATTATATGCACAGTTTTCAAATTTCGATTTTCAAATGTGAGTGGATATATATCTAACCGAGTATCTACTATCGTTAAAACTCTCTCTCTCTCTCTCTTTTATTTCTCAAATTATCGAAACTTCGATAACGGATGTATCTCGAGGTACGATAAAAATTCTTCGAATAGCAGCTCAATTAGGACTTTCTATGCGACCACAGGTGTGCCAGTTGCTCAACCAGTGGCGATAGGAGTTCCACATCCGGTCGCCGTAGGAGTACCACAGCCTTTTCCAGTTCACGTACCGGTCGCGAAGCCGGTGGCGATCCCCGTGGTGAAGACTGTGGCGATCCCAGTGGAGAAAAAGGTTCCGTTTCCCGTGGAGAAGGTGATACCTGTCCCGGTGGAGAAACACGTGCCCATAACGGTGGAGAAGCACATACCGGTCCCCGTGGAGAAGCCTTATCCCATTCACGTGCCTGTGTACAAACACGTGTTCCATCGGGTCAAGTCTCACGGTTACGGGTGGACCCATTAAAAGAAGAAACTTATTTTAAGGATGTATTACGCGGATGTAAACGGAGAACGTAACGTGTATTCAGACGTCGCGTGTCGACTGATTTACTGAGAGAAGAGTAGAGACGATGGATGATCTTTCTTCCACGACGATAACGAGTCTCGTTTTTTCGGTTACACTTTGCTCGAGCGTAAATCGGGTGTGAAGGGAAGGAATGCGACGAGATTTTTCGCGCAATAAAATAGCTATTCTACGAAGCTATTTCCGCTCGTTAATCATGGTTCATCGTTTGTATATTTATGATTTCGTTTGTTTCGTTACCTTGTTGTACCAAATAAAAGATCGATTATTAATCAAGAGATGTATTTATTTACACTTTCCTCCCCCGTGTAACAGAGTTACCGTTACTTGATCGATTACGCGCGTGGCGCGACTCTCTTTCTCTGTCTCTCTCTCTCTCTCTTTGGATGGATCACATCCATCAGAATTAAAAAAAATAATAGATAATTGTTACTGGTATACTGAAACGAGAGGAAGGATCCATTTATTATTTTCTTGCTGATCGATCTTCATGAGTGATCAGGCGATGTGTCACGATCGAATAGAAATTATATAATTAGAAATAGACTGTTTTCATGTGGATACGCACTCGATACGCGATGAATAATCGAAAGTTGTTTATATAGTCTTGGCTATATTTGAGCATACGAAGGTTTATTTACGTCTGCGTAAATTGCCACGCATAATAATTCTTGCATTTTTATATAACAGATAGCCGTTTGATTAAATAAATGTTGATTTCCGAGAGAGAGAGAGAGAGAGAGAGAGAGAGAGAGAGAGAGAGAGAGAGAGAGAGAGAGAGAAGGGATTCAAGTCACGACACCTCCTATTATTATACATTTTATACGTCTCGTAATTATCATAATTTTCTGGATAATAACGAACAGATAGCGCGTTTCGTGCCTCTAACTGCGTTCGTGTCTTGTGAATCTTCGTTATGCTCTCTCCACAAGCTCGACTAAATTCAAAAACAAATAAGTGGACTAGATTGTAATGTTTTGATAGGATCTTGATATATAAGATTGTCATTTGACGATTAAGGAGATTAAATAAATAACAGAAACGACTTTTGCCAGATTCTTTGTAATGGTGAGATAGTGTAACAATAAAAAAAAATAATAATAATAGCATTATATTGTTGTAATATAATATACAATTTGGAAATTTTTTAGATGGGAGAAGTTAAATTAAGAAGTCAACGAAGCTTGCAACTTTTTAATTTAATCAGGTAATGTTCTTCGATACAAATTACAAAGATAATAATATAATGTGATATTTCATTAACAAATATGGATATTAATCATTTTTTTTTAATCTTTCGAGATAAAAGATAAAATTGACCAAAGAATTACTCCCATATAAATTTAGCTTGTTTTTTCAAAAATGTGTTTTAAAGTTGTTTTTAGTTTGCCTTTCGTTTTTTTAAAATTTTCAAGTTTTTTTTTCATGTTGATTTTTGTATACTTTTAAAATTAGTTTTTAGATTATTTTTTCCAATTTTTCTAAATATGCTTTTTATATTTTTTTTATCCATTTACTTTATTTTGTTTATTTATTTATTTTTTTTTTTTTGTATATTTTTTTCATTTTTCCATTTTATATTTGTATGCGCTACAGGAAATCGGATGTCACGTGTATTACCATGTGCACACACGAAACGTGTTCAACCATTAGAAATTTTCACACGTGCGACATGGCGACATATATTGGAAATTCGCTAAACTACATTATTCTCTCTGTAAAGGAAAGTAGTCTTAATTATTCAATAGAGGAAAATCTTCTTGCACTCGAATTCAATTCGAAATTCATAAAAATATAATCAATCAGGGAAAGGGAAGGATACGTACACGTATACTCAAAATCACACGTACTCGAAATCAAAGCGAACGAATTCGTGTTGGAGAGAATTTGAATAAAGATTGGATCGGGTCGATGCTATGAGTGACAGGCGGTGATGAAAATTGTGAACGTACGTATTGTGGGCCACTCACCTACGAATAGGAAAATGTTTAATTCGTATGGTGGTAAGAATGGCCAATACTTACGACGTGTTCGCCGAACCGATGCCAGAGGAAACACCGATTTATCGCAACGAGCCAACGGACTAAACTAAATCGCCGACAGTGAAAGGCCCGATGGTATATTAAGACGAGCAATGAGCAAAGATGTATCAGTCGTTTGAAGAAACTTCTGCAGCCAGGTGTACAGTCGAATACTGTCTAAACATGAACAAGATCGTGAGTAAACAATACGAGTATAATCACATTCGCACGATTCTTAGGCTCGACGAATAACCAATCGACCAGAAAACTCCTTCACACCTATCTCTTCTTCCATTTAAATCTCTTCATCCATACAAAAAGAAGAATTTTAAATCTCTTTCAATCATCGAGAATAACCAAATGAAAAATCCAAAACCAACTTTATATCCATAATTTCCTACCCTTGAAATTCACAATAACACGAAGGAACACTTTCATCTTCTCCAAAGTGATAAATTTCCAATTCCAAGAGACGAACGATCGTTCGAAGAGAATTGTATCATTTTTTCCAAATCCTTCTCTATCCAAGAGCGGGCAATCAAATACCATTCCATTCGCCAACTTGAACTTTACCTTCACGCAGGTGCTACTTTCCCTGGTGTCCTTGGCCGCGAGCGTGCCAGTGATCGTGCAAGACCACCACCAACACTTTCAGCCTCAACTTCAAGGTGGTTTCCACCCTGTGGAAAGGTCTGACCAGGAGAGTCTGGGCACGTCGTCGGGCGGTAGTTACGGAGGCGGGGGTGACTACGGTGGCGCGGGTGAATACGGCGGTGGTTACGGAGGAGGGGATTTCGGGGGCCACGAAGCCGAATTTGGCCACGGCGGGGGCTTCGAGGGATCTTCCGGGGGGCATTTGGAGGTTGGCGGTGACCACTCGGATTACTCGTCTCTGGGAGGAGGTGGCGGAGGCCTGGAAGGTGGAGACGAGGGTGGAGTTTCATTGGACGGAGGTCATCACAGTGTAGTGCAAAGCGTTCCAGTGTCGGAACACGTCGAGGTGACCAAACCTGTGCCCGTCAAAGTGGTCAAACACATCGGTGAGCCTTTTAGAGGAATTTTCTTTTTGCGATTGTACATTCGCTATCACGTTATTGTTAACTAACGAGTTGTGGCTACTTTAATTAATATTATTTTGTTATTGTTGTTGTGATTACGTGTGTATATTTAAGGAATTTTTTGCTCCTTAGGGGTACCAGTTCCTCAAATCTTGAAGATAGGTGTACCCCATCCGGTGCCAGTCGGTGTTCCTCAACAGTATCCGGTGGCGCATCCGGTTCCAAAATTGGTCCCGGTACAAGTGGTGAAGACGGTGGCCGTGCCTGTGGAGAAGAAGGTCCCTTTCCCAGTTGAGAAGCATATTCCAGTGCCTGTCGAGAAGCCGATCCCTATCACGATAGAGAAACACGTGCCGGTGCCGGTTATCAAACCGTATCCCATCAAAATACCCGTGTACAAGACGATCTATCACCACGCGAAGAAGCATTAAAATTTAAAATTCGTTAAATCGTTTTAAAATAATACGACTGATACGGCTGTACACGGTTTTATCGCTTCCAGGATTTCGATTCCGTATTGAACGATCTCCGATGGAATAGCGATGAATTTTAAACTTTGAGGCTTTTTTTTTATTTTCTTCTTCGTGTATATAGTATATATATATATATGAAACATTGTTATCATTGTTGTATGTTTTTATAATTTTATAATTGTTATTGTTTTATTGCTTTATGTTTTCAATAAAGGAAACATTTGGAGAGAAAATTGCGTACACTCTTTGATCAAAATCAAAATCGATCAGCTGTGATTTCAAGATTTCAATTTCATCGTGCACGTTAGACACGATTGACACGTTCCATCCGACTACGCTCCATCCTTCCGATCTTCAAAGAACGAAATTATAGAGTAGAATAATTGCACCTTACGTATTTAATCTGTAGAAGCTTTAGAGATTCGAGAAGATTGTGAATATATTTTCCGAAGAGAAATCGGTTAAGTCGAATTGAAGGAACACTTTCCATTCGAGGATAGATGATAGATCGAACGAATTTTTTTTTTCCGGGAGTTGGTGGATTGCGGTCATCGCACCTCGACGATAGATAAATCGAGGCTTAACGCGCTCGAGATCGTAATCGAAACTTTCACTCGCATTTTCGATGCATCAGCATATAGATATTCCGTGGAAAGTGAGCGTTGGGAATGCACCAGTTCCAGGGATGAAAGGAACATTTGATCAGGGTAAATGAACCGTGAAAACAAAAAGGAAGTTCGTCAAGGTAATCAATTAATAATCCTTTATGTCCATCCATTAAACGAAATTAATAGGAAGTAGGATGATTATCGTAGCATAAATTGATTGTGGATGATTATTATAAAACTGTGAATTTTTATGCAAGAACAACGAGCAATTTAATTTTTACGTAATTAATTCGTGATTAAATGTTAAAATAAGTATTCATTAAATTATTACAACCTGTTTCGAAATGATGCGTTTAAAAGCAATATGCGTCAGATGCGAGGCTATTATTATTGAAATATAAACTGGCTATACCGGGAATAATTTCGTAATTTTTTAATTAAAATATCTTCCGAATTAATTCCTTTTTCGTAATAAACGTTGGGAGAATCGAATAAATTTCTTAAAAAATATATTTTACTTTAACGAGAAATTTATTCTCCTCTATCTCGATAGAAAAGATTAATTATTATTTATATTATAATTTAAGAAGACATGTTCCTTTGGTCATTTTCATTTCGAAATATTTCTCGATATAATTTAAAATTTATGTAATATTGAAAAAAATATTACGAACGTCATGTATCGAACTATCAAGCCAATCAATTAAAATTAAACAATTCGAATCGATATTAATATCGATAATAAGATTATATAAATTATCCTAATCTCTCAACTTAACTATATTCCTAATCTATTCTAATTTATCTAACTTTTGCTTCAACTTTTTAATATTATTCTAACCTATTGATCCATCTATTCATAAAAAAAAGGAAATTTTAACTAATCTTATCTTAATCTTTATCAATATACATGATATATATATACATATACGATGATTAACAGCAATTTAATACGATAAGAAGATAAGAGTACACATATTGTTATCAATACTCGTGCAAACTCATTAATATATAGCTTCACGCAATCTACAATTCATTTCTCAACCGTATCTTTAAACTCCATCGTTTTTTTATTATCCCACTTTCATGATCATTCACTCACGATATCCCAGTCATCGGCGTATTTTACATTTGCAATTAATGTATCGGGTGACTAATCGGTATCAGGAAATAGGAAGTGCTCGATCATAAAACGTAGCCGATGATAATACTCCTTCGAGCACGATCTACGACGCGTACATCGATCTCGTTCCTCGTTGCTTTTCAGATTGACTTTAGAAAGGATCGACGGATGAACAATTTTAATCATCGGAGGGGGGATTCGAGGAGGAAAAGAAAAGAAGAAAAAAAAAAAAAGTTGCTCGTCGCTAGGAAGATGGAAATCCTGGTGTTACGTAACAGGTGGCAGACAGGTACACGTATAACGTGTTTGGAGAAATGTAACACGATAGTGAACGCGTCGAATAGAATTTCGCGGGGATGGTGGGGTTGCTTGTGTCCCTAGAGCACCTATATAAAGTGTATCAACGCCGACAATTCGTCTCGAGTTGATCTCTTATTCACCTGGCCTTCGCGCGCGTTGAATCCTTCGGGCTAAGGGAAAACAAAACAAACCAAAGAAAAAAAGAAAAAAAAAAAAAAAAAAAAAAAAAGAAATGGAAAAATTCGTACGTACGAATTTTATTAACGACGATCGAGTCGAAAAAATTGTGAATTCCAATATCCAAGATATTACAATTTTTTTTTCGTTCAAGAGGAACTGTTTGCTTTAAGGTTATAATCTTGATGGCCGCCGTCTCCTGCCTGGCCGGGGAGTTGGAATTGAGCGGTCACGGATTTGGCGATCATGGATTGACTTTGGGAGAAATAGCAGTGGGCCACGAGGGTGGAGATATTGGCTTAGAGGAAATAGGTTTGCTCAACGTTTATATATACGTGTCTCGTCGATTTTTTTTTTTTGGGCTACGTTAACGAGATTCGTTTCGCGTTACTTGTGTAACAGACGAACACGAAATTGGGGAATACGGCGGGCACGGTGGGCATTACGTACCGATTGTGAAATCGATTGGTAAGTTTTAATAGTCAACGTGAAGATTCAATTTTTACATTCAATTTACGTGAATCGGGCAAACAGGTGTACCGGTTCCGAAGAAGGTTCCTATATTGATTCCGAAACTGGAGGTTGAATCCGTTCCACAGAATTATCCAGTTCCCGTAATCGTACCGAAACCCGTTCCTTATCAGGTGATTGCGCGCAAATGGAAATGGTTTAATC